CTGTAGCATGACAAACGAATAGCTTAGCAAGACAAACCGATTGGACTGCGGATACCAGACTCCGTTACATGGGAGTGGTCCCGCCTCAGTGGTAGTGAGGCACAGGTCGGGAGATTAAAGGGACCGAAACCTGTGACCTATACGATGATCTGCTGAGGAGCTCCCCTGATCACAAACTGAACTGTAGCATGACAAACGAATAGCTTAGCAAGACAAACCGATTGGACTGCGGATACCACACTCCGTTACATGGGAGTGGTCCCGCCTCAGTGGTAGTGAGGCACAGGTCGGGAGATTAAAGCGACCGAAACCTGTGACCTATACGATGATCTGCTGAGGAGCTCCCCTGATCACTGGTGCATTAGGTATGACAGACAAACTAGACAGTACACACAGGATTCTCTAGTTGTTGGGTTTGGGGATGGGTGGTGGGACTGCCGTGTACAGGCATTCAAAAAGCCAATGCATGTGACCACGTACAAAAGCCATCTCAATCTCTAGCACTCCCCTAATCCCTAGAATCACCACCACTAGTATGTAGCTACCACCATAGAAACCTCTGCAAAGGACCCTCAGAATAAGGACACCTCTCTATGAAGGACACTTGGTTCTGCCCCATACTAATACACTCCCCTGCCACCAGTGTACACAAACAAAAGCCCCTTCACCTCTCCTCCACACTTTCCCACCAAAACTTCCATTCCACACACACACTATACAGATTACGGCCATTATACTCTTGATCAGTAAGCCATAGCTACTATAGAGCTTTAGCTTACTACAGTGTATATACCACTTACATGCCACACAATTCTCCCATAAAGCTTCCTTTGTATCATGTACACACCTTACAAGGGTGCTCTAACTATTATGCCCACTGTGGTGTATGTTGCTACATGGCTATTGTATATGTATAGGTTATACGATGGCGGCACGTGGTTTAATGGTTTTACACGAGTGGCCAGTTTTGATAGGGCACGAGGGCGTAGCCCGAGTGGTCTATCAAAACTGAAGCCACGAGTGTGCAACCAGTAAACCACAAGCAAAGCCATCGTATAACGTGTTTGTATGATGACATCTGGCGGTAAGGCTCTGACCAATGAGATTGCGCAAAAGCTTTCAAAACGCCCTCTTTTTAACGCACACCCTCGAGTGTACGGAGAGACCTCTAGCTAGCTAGCGATCAATCGGGAGAGAGACAGCTGCAATAAGCGCTTTAGTTTGGTCAAGCTGGGCGGTTGTGCAGAAGCCATGGTCATTTCTCGAGAGTTCAACGTTACAGGTACGTCAAAGCTATACTTTTTCCACACGAGTTTTGTAGCTGCCGCTCTAGCTCGCTTTCTCTCCCGCTACACCCAGCACTCTCGAATGCAGCCTGTTGCAGTAGCAAGAAAGCTGAAAGTCACATACTGTTCCAGCCTACGGGAGCCTATGCATCGGGAAGCAGCTTTCGCTACCGCGTATATACTAGAGCAGTTTCTGGCCTGAAAACACTCCCTTTTGGTAAAGAAACAGCAGCACACAAAGAGTGTAAAAGCATTACACGCTGCCAATTTCCTACTATCGTATAACTACCATATACCCACTGTGGTTTATGCAAATGAGTTGACATACAGCTAAAGTATGGGGAAATCGTATGGCCTCTTTATGGTATAACTACGCGTAAACTCAGCAGGAAGCGCTCACTTTGCACGCCGAGGGTAACTACCCGTAGACTCAGCAGGAAGCGCTCACTACGTAGATGCGTAGTGAGCGCTCCCTGCTGAGTCTACGGGTAGTTACCCTCGGCGTGCATGCGCAGCGAGGGTACAGTAGTTGGGTCTGTCTGTCTGTTTGTCTGTTACTCTATATCTCACTCCTCGAACGTCTGTTCGTCTCACAAACGATACGACCTACTTAACGGGCAACGACGGTCGGCTAATGCTAGTCGGCCATTTTTATCTCTGCGGAAAATGCACATGCGCTTATATTTTCAACAGGCTCGGGTCCGTTTGCTCTGTGTATCTTGAAGGCACGAGAAGTCACAACTAAGGGCGTGTATCGACTCACGCATGCTATCTACTACTGTAGCTAGCCCGTGTCAGACTCTCTGCGAGCTACTAGCGGGAAACCATGAGTAATTGCATACTAATAGCAGCCCAGCCCATCAATTAGCGGTACCGCGCATGCCCAGTTCGCCGAGGGTTTGCACTTTAGTGCTTTTCATTAGAACATAAAGAGGCCATACAATTTCCCCATACTTTAGCTGTATGTCAACTCATTTGCATAAACCACAGTGGGTCTACAGGAGTTAGACGATAGTAGGAAATTGGCAGCGTGGAATGCAATTGGGGGCTTTTACACTCTTTGTGTGCTGCTGTTTCTTTACCAGAAGGGAGTGTTTTCAGGCTAGAATGCCCAGAAACTGCTCTAGTATATACGCGGTCTGAAAACTAGTGAAAGCTGCTTCCCGACGCGTAGGCTCCCGTGGACTGAAACAGTATTCGGTGACTTTCAGCTTTCTTGCTACTGCAACAGGCTGCATTCGAGAGTGCTGGGTATAGCGGGAGAGAAAGCGAGCCAGAGCGGCAGCTACAAAACTCGTGCGGCGGAAAAGTATAGCTTTGACGTACCTGTAACGTTGAACTCTCGAGAAATGACCACGGCTTCTGTACAACCGCCCAGCTTGACTAAACTAAAGCGCTTATTGCAGTTGTCTCTCTCCTGATCGATTGCTAGCTAACTAGCTCTCCGTACACTCCAGGGTGTGCGTTAAAAAGAGGGCGTTTTGAAAGCTTTTGCGCAATCTCGTTGGTCAGAGCCTTACCGCCGGATGTCATCATACAAACACGTTATTCGATGGCATTGGCTTGTGGTCTACTGATTGCACACTCGTGGCTTCAGTTTTGATAGACCACTCGGGCTACGCCCTCGTGCCCTATCAAAACTAGCCACACGTATACTGGCAGTAAGGATGATACAGTGGGAGAGTGAAGATGAAATTTCCCCTAATCCCTAGAATCACCACCACTAGTATGTAGCTACCACCATAGAAACCTCTGCAAAGGACCCTCAGAATAAGGACACCTCTCACTTGGTTCTGCCCCATACTAATACACTCCCCCTACACGCCTGCCCCCAGTGTACATAAACAAAAGCCCCTTCACCTCTCCTCCATACTTTCCCACCAAAACTTCCATTACAAAGTAGGGCCATTCTTTTCTTGATCTGTAAGCCATAGCTACTATTTACTACTATAGAGCTTTAGCTTACTACAGTGTATACACCACTTACATGCCACACAATTTTCCCATAAAGTATCATGTACACACCTTACAAGGGTGCTCTAACTATTATACACACTGTGTGTATGTTGCTACACGGCTATTGTAGTACGGGGGCAGTAAGGATGATACAGTGGGAGAGTGAAGATGAAATTTCCCCTAATCCCTAGAATCACAACCACTAGTATGTAGCTACCACCATAGAAACCTCTGCAAAGGACCCTCAGAATAAGGACACTTCTCACTTGGTTCTGCCCCATACTAATACACTCCCCCTACACGCCTGCCCTCAGTGTAGCGTACGGAGCCAATTATCGAACGGTACCTATTATCGAACGCTCGCGAGGCCTGCGAGGGTAAGGAAGTATACGGCTGAAAACGGAGGTGGACAAAGGTATGCGGACCCCCTCCGCACGGTTTTTTTTTCGTCGGTCTTTTCTCTTTAGGTAAGTCGTTTTATCAGCTATATGGGCAGCTATTACTTACTTTATTGCCCCATGGGTATGCCGCGCAAGAGGTGCTCGTTCGCCAGGAAGCGCTCGAGGTCTGCACCCGCCCGTCTTCCTCGTTCGGTGTGGTGGCTGGACCCTCATTCTCGCAAGAACAGCAGCGTCGTTTTCAGGTCGGCTATGAGGAAGATTTTGATGTTGCTGGAGATCCTGACTACGTCTCTTGGCTTCGAATTAACCACCCCCCAAACAAGTGCATCATCAGGCAAATCGCTCCTCCATCACTTTTCAGATGTCACTCCTGTCGCAGAGATTGCTGTTGACTCTCCCCCTCCTGACACAGATAACAGCACAAAAAACACTCCATCAACGTCGACACTCTCAAAGTTCCTGACCCCTCCTCTAGCGTCAACTCCCACTGGTCGAAAAGGAGAGCCACCTCGGGCTCATTTATTAACAAGTTGTGCTGCTTTTGAGATATTGAAGGAGAAAGAGAGAAAAAAGCAAGAGGAAGCAGAGATAAAAGAGAAAAAGAAGAAGGAGAGGGAGGAAACAAAGGAAAGGAAGGAAGAACAACGAAGGAAGAAGAACAAAGGAAAAAAGCGGAAGAGCGAGCAAGAAAGCAGGAACAAAAACTGAAGGAGAAAGCTGAAAAGGAAGTATATACAAAAAAGCTAAAAAAGGGAAGGGAAAGCAACCCGCAGGTGTTGGAACGAAGAGAAGCCAAAACGCTCGTAGTACCAGACCAGCAAAATGTCCCCGGAAAACTGCAAACCCCTCTACTCAGATGAACGACAGTGAATGTTGTGTGTGCTACATTTCCTACGACGACGATCAATCAGGAAACGATGCGCATGTGGACGATGGCTGCATGAGGACTGCGCAGATGACTGTGTCACAGATAGTGATGGGAATGAGCATCTCTGCTTTATTTGCCTCAATAACCTTTCTACCTGACGTTTTTTTGTTTCAGTTTTTGTATTGCACAAACACTCCTTGGAAAGTTAGTCATTTGGTGAATATTTCCCGAGTTTGCGCGTTTACAACTACCGGATTGAATAGCGCCCGTGTAGCTGGATATATGATGCATGTTTAGGTGCAGTAGCGGCACATAACTGAACAATGCCTGTGCTGTAGGTGGGGTTTTTCCCCAGCGGTCGATATTTCGCTCTGCGCAAATGTACGCACGTTCGGCGGTCGGTACCGGTGTTCGATAAATGGTCCGTGACATTGACATATAACGGAGGAGAGCGCTCTAAATGGAAAACCGTTAGTGGGATGGACCTTTGCGAGTCTGGTAGAGCATAGAATGGGGTTTGCGACGGTACAGGAACCGAATTCCGGAGGCGTTTCTGGACGGAGCTACAAGCGCCGGTACACAAGTCGTTCGATAATTGGCTCCGTACGCTACACAAACAAAAGCCCCTTCACCTCTCCTCCATACTTTCCCACCAAAACTTCCACACACACTATACAGATTAGGGCCATTATACTCTTGATCTGTAAGCCATCGCTCCTATTTACTGCTATAGAACCATTATACTCTTGATGAGTAAGCCATAGCTACTATTTACTACTATAGAGCTTTAGCTTACTACAGTGTATATACCACTTACATGCCACACAATTCTCCAAAAAAGCTTCCTTTGTATCACGTACACACCTTACAAGGGTGCTCTAACTATTATACACACTGTGGTGTATGTTGCTACACGGCTATTGTAGTACGAGGGCAACAAGGATGATACAGTGGGAGAGTGAAGATGAAATTTCCCCTAATCCCTAGAATCACCGCCACTAGTATGTAGCTACCACCATAGAAACCTCTGCAAAGGACCCTCAGAATAAGGACACCTCTCTATGAAGGACACTTGGTTCTGCCCCATACTAATACACTCCCCCTACACACCTGCCCCCAGTGTACACAAACAAAAGCCCCTTCACCTCTCCTCCACACTTTCCCACCAAAACTGCCATTACAAAGTAGGGCCATTCTTTTCTTGATCTGTAAGCCATAGCTACTCTTTACTACTATAGAGCTTTAGCTTACTACAGTGTATATACCACTTACATGCCACACAATTTCCCCATAAAGTATCTTGTACACACCTTACAAGGGTGCTCTAACTATTATACACACTGTGGTGTATGTTGCTACACCGCTATTGTATATAACTGTAGTACAGGGGCAGTAAGGATGATACAGAGGGAGAGTGAAGATGAAATTTCCCCTAATCCCTAAAATCACCACCACTAGTATGCAGGGTTCTCCTTAGAGCGCGTAAGCAACAAACAGGTAAAATAGCGACACCAACGGGTTCAGTGCTACACTGGCTTGAATTTTTGAAATGCCGATTTTCGTAAAAGTGCCGCGTTCAGAAGTTATGGCGTGAAAACCAAGTGAACAAGCCAATATGCTAATTAGCACTAACTTACCTCGACCTGATCCGCTTTATCTGTGTACCTCGGAGGTACAAGAAGTCACAACGAAGGGCGTGTATCGACTCTCGCATGCTATCTACTACTGTAGCTAGCCCGTGTCAGACTCTCCACGAGCTACTAGCGGGAGATCACGGGTAAACGCAGACTAATAGGCCCAGCCCATCAATTAGAGGTACAGCGCATGCGCAGTTCGCCGAGGGTTTGCACTTTAGTGCTTTTCATTATAACGGTGAATTAGAATCCGCCTGTGCCTGTCCCCTGCAAACGGAATCGGCATTGAGCCTTACTTCTTGTTGCTGCATTTGCAAATAATATTATACGTTTAGAGTAGTGAAAATAAAACGCCACGAAGACAAAGACGAGAGCTGCATTCGACCTTTTGACCCACCACGCCTGGCCGGTGAGACCGGCGCATGCGCGCACCACAAATACTATTCCACACAATCTCAGATTAGTATATATAGTTGTCTTTACGTTCTCTCAATCAGTCTTAAAGTTTTATCTTCTCAGCTCTACCTGTACCAACGTCACTCTTCAAAGCAGCAAGGAAATAGTTGTGGCTGAAGTCCATTGCAAGACTCCAGTGAAAGATAAAGATGGCAAACGTATTACCCCTTCACCAGAGACAAAAGAGAACACAACAGAAGTGGTTTATAATAGCCAAAAAGAGAAAGGCAACTTCTGTTAGTCCTTAGTGTATGTCATAAGTTATAAGTAGCTACTCCCAAATAGAAGCTTGTTTCTCTCTTTCTCTCGTTTAGCTGTGCATGCAGTATAAATACAAGCTGTGTATATAATATATATACAAAATACTCTTCACTCACCATTCAAGTAATGGAAGAACTGCTACATGAAGCCAAGAGCTGACATGTATATACCTCACCAGGTAGATAGTTCAACATGTAGAGACAATCTTGCCTTACCAACTTTACCAGTACAAAGGATGAAAATGGGTTTTGAATTGTGTTATATACGTAAAAGGGAAAGTAAATTTTGAGCTGGTAAAGACCTGAATAGCTAAGTATTATAATGTATATACTGAACTGTAGTAAGAGCATCAGGTAAGGACAATTTGGATAACAAAAGGGAAAGGAGAGCAATAGACTGCTGGGATTCATATAGGTGGATACATCTTCCAATGGAGAAAAGCCACGTCAGCGCAGTGCACACACTCTTGACAGACAGTGAGAGCTGCGAAAGACTGCCCCTGCTCTGCAGTGTGATGCGCAACAGAAGAACATCCTCCAACACAAAGAAGATTACTGCATTAGCTGCACAAGAAAACGGATAAATAGTGCGAAAAATGGGCTTCAGACTTGACTAACTCGTGTGCACTATGTGATTTTCGTTGGATGCGCATAATTGTGGCGACGACTCCGAGACAGAGCCCCGATATGACGCCAAGTCCAACGTTGAGTGCATCGTGAGAGATGGGAAGTCGGCTGTATAGATGTATATATCGCAAGAACTACCAGCAGGAGCGCCCCCGTGTGTATCCCGCAGCGGAATATGTATATACTGCTCGGGCGGATTCTCTCCGCATTCGCTGACGGTCGGGCGGGAGCCAGGGAATCACGTGACCGTCGGCCACGGCGATGACGTTCGTTGCAGACGATGATGTTGCCCATCAGCACCAGTGCTCCGAAATGGACGAGCCACGTGCACTTTGCCGGGATCTTACACAGGACTATATTATGCCATCTTCTCAGACTGCTAGATCTCTGGCTAGGCGGCTCTCTGCAGTCAATCATATGACAACGCCCACGCCACGCCCATATATGTGCGCGCATGCGCGCTCGAGAAGCATCCTGTGCGAAATATATAAAAGCAATGCGCCGAGGGTTTGCACTTCAGTGCTTTTCATTTCTTACGGAATATTGTGCAAGCCTAGAGGGCTAGCCGGTTTCCGTTTCGCCGTAATAGTTGCGCAGAGATTCTTTTCAAAATGGTTTCACTGGCCGTGGAGCAGATGTGGTGGAACGAGTTGGGTTCGGCCATGGTTATAACTTCTTACGATTCAGCCACTGGTGTATTTGGTGGAAAATACTACAGTAAAGTTGGCGAAGCCGAGAATTGGTACGTGTTGACTGGTCGCAACGACACAGCAGGGACAACCCTGGGGTGGACAGTAAACTGGAAGAATTCAAGTCACAATGCTCACTCCGTAACGACTTGGTCTGGTCAATTTCAACTTCCTCCCGACGGGAAGCCTGCTCTAACTACTACTTGGCTACTCACCGCTCAGACCAACCCAGAGGACAACTGGGAGTCTACCATGGTGGGTTTTGATCGATTTTACCTCACGGAGCCGCCATATGAGATCAAGGAGAGGGCTAAGCTGCACTGCAGAAGAAGTCATCCAAAAGAAGCTTGATCTATTACTAAGCAGTGAACACTGCATGGTGTGATGCACTGTAGCTAGATATTAGCTACCACTCTGTTGTACCCCTGAATATTTTTAGCATTTTTGTGGTGGCTGTAGTAGAGATAATAATTATAGATAGCGCCCAGTATATACTTTGCGAGACGGGGTAGCTACTGTGGCGTGCACTGCATGTATATAGCGAGGGGTAGCTAACAACTCCGGAACACGTCTGTATAATCTGCACGCCCACAATGTCGCTCGTCCCACGAGAACGCATACAAACCTACATCCGCTGCAGCTCCATGCGCGCTGTTTAAGGGCAGGACATAATCTGCCGCTTGAATTGGAGACGTCAACATGGCTCTTACAATCAAGAAACTTGTTTGTTCGAAGCTGTTTCAAGGGGCCCGACTGTGTGGAAGAGCAGGTTCAACAAAAGGATTTTTGGTGTTGAGGAGTCATCACGGGAAAGCAGGTAGCTAGCTAGTATAATATACCTAGTAAACAGTTACACTGCTAAAAATTGTAACAATGAGTAAGTCCAGTCTTACTGGAGTAGTGAAGTTCTAGGAGTTAAATGGGATATTGTGTGCAAATATTATATAAGGTTTTATTTGTCAGAGGGATGTGAGCTACAGATAGCTGAAGGGCAGACATGGCACAATGAACTTGGCTCCAAAATGGTGGTAACTTCAGCTGACCCTGCCACTGGGGTGTTTGGTGGTATATACAACAGCAAAGTTGGAGATGCTGAGAAATGGTACGTGCTAACTGGGCGGCAAGACATAGATGGAGATACAGTTGGTTGGACAGTCAACTGGAACAACGCCTACAATAATGCACACTCGGTGACAACATGGTCCGGTCAGCAGCAATTGAGGTGTAGCGACCCTGTAATTCTGACAACATGGCTTCTTACACGTCAGACCAGTCCTGAAAATGACTGGGAATCCACACAGATTGGATCCGACCAATTCTTCCTCTACGACCCTTCTCCTGAAGCAAAAGAAAAGGCCAAGTTTCACTGTCGAAATAGCCATCCAAAGGATGCATGAACTAGCTGATAGCAGGACACTGGACAAAATGAAAGTAGCTACATTAGTAAGGAAGTGTGTAATTCGGTTAAGAATCACTTCACAAAACCATCCAAATGCAGTGCGTGAATTAGCTGCGAGAGTAGGAGAGAGTAACGGAAATTAAACTGAACAAACAGAGTAATTTCTGTGGTTGTTACTGATAGAGTACACTATTGAAGCATAATTATCAGTGGAATTCAGATTTACTACCATCTCACTGTATAATAGAAGCTACTAGAGTACAAGGGAGAACTACAAAACACAGCCCTTTCAGTAGCACATAGGTATTCAAAAAAGATTCGGACTAGCTAAGATACAATACTGCGATATAGTATACTGTATATATTATGCATGCACAAAAAAGCAGTAAGTAATAGTTAATGTACGGAAGTCAGTGCTGTGCGCTTAATAATGGTACGAGGGGCGTGGTCGAGATAGTCATACAGCATGCACGAGGCGCAGCCGAGATGCTGTATGATCTATCGAGACCAAGTACCATTATCACGCGCACAGCACGTGCTTCCGTACATTAATACTGTAATCTAGCTAGGATAACATAACTAGTGGAAATGTTGAGCATTGTTGGCGAGCGGGAGTGACCCAATTTGGTCGGGATGCATAACGTGCCGTCAGCAGCACACAGCTTTCCTTTCGTGAAGCAAGACAGATCTACCTGTCGCCGTTATTTGCGTATTGTACATTGGCAGAACGGTGAGCAGGTGAGCAGACGGTACTTACCTTAAGCTTTCAAGTCGTCAGTCGTGATCCACCAGGCAGCTGATATGCAGCAGTACGTGCACGAGCAATCCTAGGCGTATTTGCAAGTTGCACCTTGGAACCATGAAGATTGGGAAGAGGTATATACAGCCTTGGTCAGTCACCGAAGGTTGCAGCGCATGCCGTCGAATGGAGGAGAGTTCTCTAGCTGGCTAGATCGTCGATCGGCGCATATCGAGGCACCATGCGTGAAAATGCGTAAAAATTAAAGAAGCGCGTACAAAGCCGCGCATGCGCACTTACACGACGTACGGTCGCTAGTAGGCGAATGCGTGGCATTCTTGCAGTACACAATGACTCTATCTGCACGAGCCATCCTACAACTTGAACCTTAGAATCACGAAGATCGGAAGGAGGTATAGACAGCCTCGGTCAGGTATCGAAGAGCACAGCGAATGCCAGCAAATAGACGAGAGTTCTTTGGCTGGCTATATTTCGCTTCGATATGACAGCTAGGGCAGCGTGTAAAAATTTGCGCGTTCCCTATCAGGAAAGCGACGCTGTTACAAACGAGCCTCTCTGCTCAAGAGTCTCACGGGCACGATGTTCTCTTTACCTCTCTCTTCGACGACGAAGGGCATCCCCGGACTATATGCACGCACGACATCATCACAGGCAGGCAGCATGTGAAATTTTGAAATCCCTTCGGATAAAAAGAAGCGCGTAATCCTGGAGCATGCGCAGTTGGACGACGTACGGTCGTAATCCGCGCCGTTCGCACCACTAGGTTAGCTCGCTCCCGCTCGCCAACTAGTAGGTGAATGCACTGCATTTTTGGCGAGCGGGAGCGATCTAACGATTGTGTGCATGCGCAAAAAAGCCTGTGTAGTAACTGTAGTCGACCCCCTCTCTCTCGGCAGACTCGGCGGCAATTCGCCTTGTCTGATAGCTTCGGATCTGTTGGAGCCTTGCCTGTTGCGTTTCCTCTGATTCCGCAGCACGTGTAGCTCTTGCTCGTACACGACTTCGCTAGTTGAGCTTCCCTTTCTTCCGCTGTTTCCGTGCCTTGCCCGTTCCCTATCACGCAGTCGCCGTCGAGAAAGACGAGCCTCTCTTTGCTCAGATGTCTCACTGGCACGACGATCTCTTTCCCTTTCTCGTCGACGACGAAGGGCATCTTCTCTAGACCGATCCGTCGCAGAACTGTGGTTGGCTTCCACGACACCAGAAATATACGGTGTAAAATTTTGAAATGCTTTTCGGATAAAAAGAAGCGCGTGGACGACGTAGGAACGGATATATAATATATAGAAAAATCGTGCCGTTCGTACCACTAGCTCCCGCTCGCCAACTATTGCTATTCTTTGTAAAGCGAACCTAACTAAACCTACTAGTGGAAATGTTGAACATTGTTGGCGAGCGGGAGCGACCCAACTTGGAATTTGACCGCGATGTTCGGGCTGCATAACGCGCCGTCAGCGCACAGCTTTCTTTTCTGTCACCGTTACATGCGTACTGTATATTGCCAGAACGGTGAGCAGGTGTACTTACCTTAATAGCAGTCAGATGATCACATCCAATGTGAGCCGTCAAGAATAAATTTTCTCAGGCTTATCACGATACTTTTTAGTTACTGAAGTTCCATCATGAGTCAGAGTTCTTTGGAGAAGATCCCAATTTAGCTATTTTCTGTGGATGATGTCGGATTCATTTATGTACCAACAGAATGTCAGAATGGAGCAGGTAATGACAGTAACAGCAATTACGGGGATGATGCAAACTGAGCAACCTTCTCTGGGGAAAAGGCTCTTAAGTAAATTATGACTGACATTTTAGTTTAAATAGGAAGAGTGCAAGAGAAGAGTTCAAGATGAAACTGTGTCTGAAGATAGGGATATAGGGTGCAGCTCAACAGCACATAAAACAAAAATAACTTGTGGGTGTGGTTACTCTGTTTCTCTGGCGCAATCGGGAACTTTTTTTTATTAGGGCACTTTTCCATAAACAGGTCACGTGTAGCTAGCACTATAGCTAGCTCTACCGTTGTGTTTTTACTTAGGTTGTCGGCTACACATTATGCTTCATGGATGCAAGCAAGGAAGGTCAGAGTATCCAGAGAGGTATAATCTTATCACCACACTCGGCCAGTGATGTAGGTCCAGTATGCGTCAACATTTCCACTAGTTATGTTATCCTAGCTAGATTACAGTATTAAATCTCTCCCAGATATACGCATGCGCACAATAATTATAATGATGAGTCAGCAATGAGTCAGCTACAGCGTTACAGTCGTATAATTGGCGAGCGGGAGCGAGCCAACCTAGTCGTTCGTTCGAGCGGTATAATTATATCGTCGTACGTCGTGTAAGTGTGCATGCGCGGCTTTGTACGCGCTTCTTTTTCTGTCAAAATTAATTTTCCTTGCTGTTTACTAGTCATTTTTCCTTTTCTTATCCGAAACTATTTCCAAATTTTTACGCATTTTCACACGCGGTGCCTCGCGATATGCGCCGATCGATCTAGCCAGCTAGAGAACACTCCTCCATTCGACGGCATGGTTTCAACCTTCGGTGACTTACCGAGGCTGTACCTCTTCCCAATCTTCATAGTTCCAAGGTGCAACTTGCAATACGCTAGGATTGCTCGTGCACATACTGCTGCATGCCAGCTGCCTGGTGGACCACGACTGACGAGCTGAAAGCGTAAGGTAAGTATATACCGTTCTTCTCACCTGCTCACCGTTCTGCTAATGTACAAGACGCATGTAACGGCGACAGGTATATCTGTCTTGCTTCACGAATGGAAAGCTGTGCGTTGACGGCACGTTATGCAGCTCGGGCAAATCCCAAGTTGGGTCGCTCCCGCTCGCCAACAATGTTCAACAGTAAGAAGCGCGTAATTGGCGAGCGGGAGCGAGCTAACCTAGTGGTACGAACGGCGCGGATACGACCGTACGTCGTCCAACTGCGCATGCTCCAGGATTACGCGCTTCTTTTTATCAGAAAGGATTTCAAATTTTCACGTGCTGCCAGGCCTGTGATGATGTCGTGCGTATACTTGTGCATATAGTCCGGGGAAGATGCCCTTCGTGGTCGAAGAGAGTGGGAAAGAGAACATCGTGCCCGTGAGACTCCCGAGCAGAGAGGCTCGTTTGTATCAGCGTCGCTTTCGTGATAGGGAACCGCAAATTTTTACACGCTACCTAGCTGTGATATAGATGGCAAATGTAGCCAGCCAAACAATTCTCGTCTATTTGCTGCCATTCGCTGCGCTCTTCGATACCTGACCGAGGCTGTCTATACCTCCTTCCAATCTTCGTGATTCTAAGGTTCAAGTTGTAGGATGACTCGTGCAGATGAGTCATTTGTGTACTCGCTCCCGCTCGCCAAAAATGCCATTCATTCGCCCACTAGTATAGTATCATTATATATTTATTAAAAAATCCTGCGGATTAAAAAAAGAGTGCATATAGGGATCGTATAAAAAGAAAGGGAGACAAGATAGGGATTGTGTTTGTGGAAACACTGAGATGCTAGTGAGGAGTTAGGACTCCCACAGGTCATTACAACAGCCCTATATCGTTGTATCGGTGCTCTACTACTTCCTCATGAATATATCAGCCAACCTTGCATACTTGAATTTTGTTTTCTTGCGTTACACAATTTTTCTATGTTTCCATGTATATACATGTATATACATGTATATCCAATGTTATGGTCGGCTGATTACACTTCCACCTAAATGCGCACTCCATGGAAATGTAGCATGACAAATCTATCAATTAGTAAGTAGCAACTTCATTACCCATAGCAGACTCTCTCATCACTCCCACTCCCACCCTACGACGAAGATTGAAAACTTTCCCTATCATAGCCCCATACATCTATGATGCTAGGTACTCCCACCGTACGACGATATAGGGCTGTTGTAATGACCTGTGGGAGTCCTAACTCCTCGCTAGCATCTCTGTGTTTCCACAAACACAATCCCTATCTTGTCTCCCTTTCTTTTTATACGATCCCTATATGCACTCTTTTTTTTATCCGCAGGATTTTTTATTTACTTGTCTCCTCTCATTTTTATATACTACTACGTATTATCTCTGTGGAAGGGGGCAAGCTCCTATAAAAAATTTAATAGAGAAAAAATGCCTGTTGTCGTCATGGAAATGAAATGCATACCATCCATGTGTGCTGCCGTTAGCAAGTTTGAGGAGTAAAGAAGAAGAAAAGTGCCTGAGGCTATTTGTTGTTGTGGTCGTCATGGAAACGATGTAATACACATGCGCACCAAGTTTCACCTCCATGCGTGGTACCGTTAGAAAGTTTGAAGAGTGAAGAAGTAATTTTAAAGAAAAGTGCCTAAGGCTATTTGTTGTTGTATTTGTCATGGAAACGATGTAATACACAGGCGCACCAAGGTTCACCTCCATGTGTGCTGCCGTTAGCAAGTTTGAGGAGTGAAGAAGTAATTATAAAGAAAAGTGCCTGAGGCTATTTGTTGTTGTGGTTGTCATGGAAACGATGTGATACACATGCGCACCAAGTTTCACCTCCATGCATGCTATAGTTAGC